TATGCATGTGCATGGAACTTCATTAATAAAACAAAATGGATGATACTGGTCATTGTTCTGAGGATTCTGTCTTGGTCATGAAAGGATCTTTGAATTAAAAAATAAAAGAGAAAACTAGAAGGAAAATATAGTTCAGAAGGGGAGAGAAAGAGTCAATGGGTATTTAGGGTTTATTTTACTGATCACCCTGACTAACTAATTATAATAATAAATTCAAAGTGGAAAATGCAGAAGGAAGGAAATTAAAGGAGAGAAAGAAAAGTGGGGGGGGGGGGGAGAGAGAGAGGGAGGGAAACAAGAAAAGACCATTGAAATGGAAATGGGAAAGGAAAGAGAATGCCAAGTCGCCATTAGAATCTTGAATCCTTATTTCAAGTTCTGTGAGATGTGATCTGCAGAGATTTGACCCTTTATGCTGAAACCAGCCAAGTGTGTCTCAACTCAACCTCTTTTAGTGCACTGGTCAATTCTCTTGTCAAACACTTCCACACACACAAGCTATTTGTTTCATCTCTTTGATTTCTTCCTTCCACTAAATATAATATCCATCAATCGATCAACTAGCTAGTAAAAAAGTATATATGTTTCGTTATCTTTTTTTTTTCGTTCTTTCCTTTTCTTCTTTTTCTGTCTGATATATTTGTGTGATGAAGCTAAACTCTTGAGCCAGTTTTAGTTGTCTTAGTGTATAGGGGAATTCATTAGCTCCACCAAGTTGCCTTGACAAAAAGTCAATTTAAATAAAGAGAAAAGTCAATCCAATCCAGATGTTGATGTTTATTTTTTAATCATTTTCAAGAAAATGACGTTGATAAAGTCAATATAAATAGTTCGCAATAGAGATCAACAAGGGGTATTTTTCTTATTTAAGCTGTTTATCGTTTGAACACTGTAAAAAAAAAATCATTCGATCAACTCTATATTAACTTTAAAAGCTGATTATTCAAGCTAAACACAAAATATAAAATTTAAAGATCAACAAAGGGTATTTTTCTTTTTTAATCTGCTTGTCGTTTGAAGGATTTTGTTCTTATTTTATTCTCTTTTTAATTTTTTTATGTTAAATAAAGAACACTGTAAAATAAAAAATATCATTCAATCAACTATATATTAACTTTGAAAACTGATTATTTAAGCCAAACACAAAATTTAAAATTTCATCTATTCAAATCATGTCACGTCATACCTATTATCATTATCATTATTATTATATAGGGGATTAGATCATATCTTACATTAAGAATAAGCACCGCATAATTTACAGTCTTACGCATAGCAAAAAAGAGAAAAATCATCGCATGAACAAATTAAATGGACACATAACTCACATGCATGGTATTACTTTCAATACTGTTTAAAATTTAAAGAAGTTTTAAAACTTGGGGTTTTCTCCTTCATGACTTCAATCTGTTTTTATACTTATAAGATTTAATCCCAAATATAAAATTTCAATCAATCTTGATTCTCATATTCATCATTTTTTAAATTAATTTGCTTAAACATATAATCTGATGTATTATATAATGTTACATCCAGATATTCACATTTGTTATAATTATTTCATTTGACTTTCTTAATCCGCCTAAATTAATTAAATAACCCTAGCAGAATATATTTTTTTGGGTCAAACATATAACAATGAAAGTTGAGATTCCAGATTGAGATAAAATGGATGCAGTAGGTTGGAAATCTTAGGCTCAGATCACGATAAAGACCCATTAATATATATTTTTTCTTTCAAAAATAAACAAATAGCAAGTGGGAATTTAGTAGTTTTCACTGTATAGTTTCTCCCATTTCGTAAATTAAAATCGCATAGAAAGTAAAATCCCAACTTCCAAAGCTGGGAAACTTTCACTGTAACATAACATCCCTTTTAACAGCGTAGAGGAAAACGAAACAACACCATATGTACACACACAAAAGTCCTGGACATGTTAATACAATTTCTTCTAAGGATCTTCAATGGCTGCCGTAGCCAGCTGTGTCAGCAATATTGACCAAAATTAAGTGTATTATTGGACTTTGATTAGAATCTTTTGAATCCTATCAAATAAAAATAATGTTCCAACTTCCAAGGTTTGGTATATTCCAGACAATTAGTGCATATATTTTGGCCACCAAGAAACTCATGCTACTTTGACTGCTTCTGGTCCATAGTTGGAATTGAGCAACAAACTAATTAATCATAAAATGAGGTGGAAAATGCATAACCAATTAATAATACCTCATGAATTATATCCATAGGGCGTGACCCAATAATTAGAGGGGGCATATTTTATGTTTAGGGACCCTGCCATTAATTAAAAATACAGACAAGAAAAATGAGACTCTTTTGACTTTCGTTTCCGACTTCTAATCTAATTGCTTGGATTGACCAACTATGAATTTTCTGCTGCCAAAACATAAAACAGATGTAAAGAAGAAGAAATCAACTTTACACTCATTTTATCAAAAAACAAAAAACTTTATACTAAAAAATTCATCCTTTCACTCTCTTATTAACTGTATGATTAGAGAGAATTCAATTTTCACTCATACAATTTACAGGGGGTGCTGGAGTTCAGTTTAAGGTTTATATGTAAATGTAAAATTATCCAAATGCCCCTTCCACTGTTTATAAGAGAATTAATATGCATTAAGAAATAATTCAAACACAAATGTCCCCTAGATTCACAACTATTCTTGTTTTAGGTGGGAAGCATATTTAACTTGAAGCCTTTCATATTGCTCCATTTCATTATGTCCACTATGAATTATTAAGAGGCCTAAACTTAGCTTTGACTAGCAATTATTGGGTTTTAAAAATATAACAATACATATTATATAAAATATTAAATTTGATGATAAGAATTAATGAGTCGCTTGTCACATGACATTAGTGTCATTGATTATAGTTGCCATGAGTTTAATATTGAAATTGACCTATATATACTATTTATTGTTATCCTTTTCCCTTCTTTTTCACTCTTGGCATTGGGGGGGGAAAAACATTCAAGAATAGCTATTTACATTGGCGCACATTGGAAATCATAATCATTTTCTCACAAGTAGTAAAGCCCATTTTCATTCCAACTTAATTCTTTTAGTTATTACTTTGACTTTATAGAAAGTGATATAGAATACTCCCTCCGTTGCTTATTATAAGAGACATTTGATACTTATGGTATGTTCCTATATATAAGAGACACTTAAAAGTTGTCTCTACTTTTTTGTGTTGATTTTCTATTTTACCCATATTTATTGTCTCCAACTCATACTCTCTCTCCCTCCCACTTCTCTTTCTTTTAATAATTTAATTGTTCTCTCTCATGCTCTCTCTCCTTATTAATGAGGGCATTTTTGGAAAAAAAATTATATTTTTTACACATTGATTGTTCTTAACTAATTTTAACTGCTTTTTTTATCAATGTAATTCGGTTATTTGTCTCTTATAATAAAAAACGGAGAGAGTAGAAGATTTGATGTCAGTGTTTTTTTTTTTTTTGAAAAAAGAATTTAGACAAGATTTTCCCATTACTTATTCACCATATCAATCAAAACGTATCCTTGAAGTGCCTTACACACACACACACAATTTAAAAAAGCCAAACATCTTATCTGCGTCAAAACCCCAAAATTAACTGTGAAATAACCCAAACTTGGAATCAATTTCCTAAAGCATATTGATACTAACACAATTCAAATACCTTTTCGTACCTATTTGCAACATTGTTGATGATGAAGATAGAGCATGCAATTGGAAATGATAATATCACCGAAAGAGGGTTAGGTGATCCATAAAGCGGCACGATGATAGGCCCAATTGAACTCACTAGAGTCCACAAAATTTAGTTAGATCATTAGATGGCTCTAAGCCTAATCGTCATCAAGTTGGGTAATATGGTGGTGAATGTAGATCAATAGGCCTAATTATAAAACCTTGGATAGTCCTACTTAATCTTAACTTTTCATAGTCAACGACTTTATACAATCCCATAAATTTCTTTTGACTGAACTTTGCTCTAAGGATGGTAGAGTGCAAAATCAGCCATTAATATCAGCAGCAACAACTGTTTTTTGGGGGTAAAGAATAATTTGTGATTAGTGACTCCATTGCTTAATATTAGGAAAAGAAGCATTGGTTTTCCTGACGATGGATTGCATCACCCATTAGATTATTGTAGAAAAGATAAAATAAAATGATTGAATCATAAAAAGCTACAATGAAAAATACAAACTTTGATTTGATTTTGAACCTTTCGCAAGAATACTTTCCAAGAGGTATAATCTTCACTTGTAAAAACTGGTTTTAAGTATATTTTAAGTAATCAATTCCTTTATCAGCATCTGCATATCTATTCTATTAAGTATATAAATAAAGATAATTTAATTTATATAAGGGTACTTTAAGAAATAAAACTAGAAATGGAGCCAATTGTAACATAATTTTTCTTTACAAAAACCTGTATAAATATTTTTTTAGAATAAATCATCTCCTTCAATGTCAGTGGTATGGTTGTTGCGGGAGTGCTTTCTTGTTGATGTTTTTCAAGTCCAAGCAGAAAGTTCCGCCAAAGAGGAAAAACTGTTGGCTGATAAAGAACAAAAATTAGGTCGATAATCATTTCAATTCTAAGAGCTTGCCCTATAAATAAATCCAGTCAAATGTAATAGCTAGCGTATCAATCTCCTTTACAGAAAAGTGGAGAAAACGGTAAGCAAAAATTTATTCCTTCCAGATCCGCTTGTGAGCAGGGAGAGCTTTTTTTTAGATGAAGATAAACAATCTGAGTCAAATCTAAAAATGACACTTAGCAAGACTTAAGGCCCAATTCGCAATTCAAAATAAGTCCAGACTAGGCCCTCTAATGTCAAGAGGCAACTGAAACCTTGCTTGTTTCATATAATTTAATACAAATGAATCAAACCAGAATTCTGAAATTAACATGCTAGTGGAACGGACATCTTGATGCAAAGTATTTGAAAATACTTGCAAGGAAATCAGCAACTTATACAGGAACAATCCCACAACTCGAGAGACATAGAATTCATGAGGCAAAAATTATGGAAACAAGGGTTTGAACTACACCAACTCAACGACTTGAACCAATAGACATTTTCACAGGAAAAGATATCTTCCAACACATCAAGTAAGCAACGGAAGCATAAGCTAAAAATACAAAAACAGGACATTTTAATGGGGGAAGAACCTGAATTAACAAAAACAGTAAGGATACATATTTCTCAAATTTTGAAGTATATTAGAAACTAAATTAACAAAAAGGGTGAGGTTTAAAAAAAGACATTTTCATTATCAAAATCCCAGATGCCAATTAATTTCTTATGTTAGACGTTACTGTGCTATGGGTTGGCCTGACTCTTGGGTGGTCACAGGGACAGCCATCTGAGAGATCCCAATTATGAGTCCATCAATGTCAACAGGGAGAAGAAGCTTGTGCCACATGCATCCGGTGGAAATTACACCGGGTGGTTCAAGGACCATGGCAATATCATCGTTTCTATGCAACATTCCAATTACTGTCACAGAGCTACCTTCCTGTACATACCTGTCCACATTTATGGAAATGTCAATTCATAAGATCTGGCTATGAAGCAAGGATCCACGTTGGATCCTTTCCAAATATGCAATCATAGAAAAAGCGACACAAAGTAGCATCGCACTACTTTTTTCACACTTATCCAACCCAACACCCCCCCAAAAAAAAAAAAAAAACTTTGGTGATTACAAGGGCAAGGGCAACCTAACAAATGGAGACAACAAGCGGGACCAAACCCACACCCTTTCATTTACAAAGGAGCTTCATGTCGGTATGCCACCAGCCCACTAGGGCAGTGGCTTCTCTATTTCTCTCTGAATATAGCATACAGTCACTCTTATTAACTACGATGAATCCGGACAGGCATAGACCTGCATCCAAAATGTGTGAGGTGAAAATATCAAACATGACACTAACTATTCGAATTACACATGCTCACTTCAAATGGCCTATCTCCTGTTTCAGTGTTTAAGAATTGAGACCATAATGTGTCCTATATGTTGATGTCCATGCCTAAGAATTAGGAGGGGTGATAAAAACAAGTGATATTTTCAGTTGTCCATATATATTACCCTTCTTCTAGGCGAAGAATGCGAGCTTCAGTTGAGAGGTTTCGGTCCTTTAACCATTTTCTCAAGTGAGGAGATAAGATTCTGTGTTGTCCTGAGGTATGAATAATTTGGCTCTCTGCAATTAATGGTATAACCTTGCTGCCGGAACCGGCTTTCACCACCACTTGTGTCCCAGACTTCTGGTCCGTTATGTAAAAGTCTGTGGAGAACCTCTGTCACGATTCAACAGAACAATGGTATTAAACTTCGCCAGCCATGTGTTACTCCCAATTATAAGTTCAACTACGCAGCTGCGGATTGCTGAATTAGCTCTTAAATATGGAGAACAAAAGATAATGACACAGGACTCTCTTACGTCCTTTTTCTTAATGCCAATTATCACTTGAATAAAAGCTTCTAAGAATATAAGAACAAATATTCAGGCAAGGTGTCATCTCCGTTAAAACTACGTAATCATTTATTTTAGAACCCTTTTGCATGACTATATATGAATCAGAGAGACAGTAAGGTTTTTTTCACTGATACCGAGTTTTTGCCAGAAATAGAATCATCCATCTTCGTCTTTTGCTTCCCCCAGAAACCTTGACTTTATTGTTTCATGTCTTTTTAACCTCATTTTGAGACCTATAACACCACCTACTTATTTCCCACATCGTGCTGCGTAGCTCAGTGTACAAACTAAACACAGATTTTGCCCCATCTTCTATGATTACAATGCCAAAAATATGAGCAGGTAGTTTTGAAAGATGAAATTAATGAAAAGTCCTCATCCAAGACACAAAATTCTGTCAACATTCAAATCACTTGATAAGCAAGGGCCCAAAACTAAACGAGAGTAAACATACTTATAAAAGTAAGTAGTGTTTTTTTTTTTTTCCATGAAAAACATGAGAAATTTGTTTCTATTTAATGGTCTCACAGTATGATAAATTCACATACCTCACAATATGCTAAATTCCAACGAAAGCATGATTTGTTTATATTTACTGGTCTCATACCAAACCCTCTGCATTCATACAAAAGGGTGGATGCATAAACACATCTGGTTGCCTTTTCATAAGAAGATTCCAGTGAGACACCGCCACAAGTTGCAAGCTGAAATCATCGTAAGTTCCAAATGTGATGGGGCCTTTAATTAAGTAGAACAGAATAGTACCCAAATTAAGGTAGCGAATAGTGAATATTACAAGAAATTTCAGAGGAAAAAAGTCCCCAAGTTCTGGAAAAATGGAAAAAGACTGTGGCCTCAAGAACAGGAACTTTAAAACTGATAAATAGCAACTTTCCACACATAATGAGGAAAGATCATAAAGAGATCCTTTTAGGAAATAAGTTGCTGATTTGATCACATGGAAAGTCCTTAATTTACTAAGAAAGAGGCAAACCATTCTTTCTTTGCCTGAATCAAACATCGAGCACAACAATACGTTGGCATAGTTGTCTCGATGACTTCTATGATTCTCACTGCAAGTGTAGAGACACGGAATAGACATCATTGATAAGGAATGCGACCATTCTAAGTAAGCGTATCTACCGTCCCTCAAAATCAGCTAACTGCTATATCTTTCAGGACTACGTATTTTTTTTTAATCAAAGAGAAAGTCAAGTGAAAAGTGGATTAATTAACTTAGCGAGAAGAATGGAGTATTGGTGAAGAGTACATTTACAGGACCGATGAACTAAACGTGAACTGAAGGTTCTTGGGCGGGGCTAAGAGTTGATATTAGTTTCCACAGTTTTTCTTCTAAAACAGGAATCACTAACTATAACTTCATTTGAACATGTATTATCTCTCTATTCTAGTAGAACATAACATGTCCAAAAACAACAACTCTAACTGCTAAATGGAGTCAAGATGTTGATAATATAAGAGATTGAAAGAGGAATTGTTCTCTTCGATGCTGACAAGTAAAAAGCAACAGAGTTCTAGTATCTGATGATGTTTCACGCAGCACATTGCCAGAACAAAAACGGAGGGAAAACGACCAGAATTTCCTCCCCTCATGTGTCTTAAAAGGACTATTCGCCACTTTTGAACTCCCTTAATTCCCCATTACATACTGCGACAACCCTAGAACATACAATCAACTATAGGAGTCAAGGTTCAGAGAAATAGTACCCCAGTGATCTTCACGAGCTGACCCTCTTTAGCGCGGCGAATGTCAGAGTCAGGAAAAGAGCGAAAGAAGAGTAAAATTGCGCCTTTTTTCCTCCAGTTGTGGGTGTTCCAACCTATAAAAGCGAAAACGAGAGAGAAGAGCAAAAGGAAGGAGATGACGAAGGCTGCATTTTGAACTACAATGAGAAAGAAGACAGAAACGGCGAGACCCAACAAGAAAAGGGGTAGCAAAATGTAAAGAGCGGGAGTCGGAAGGGGTCTGAAGCTGCAAAAATGGTTGCTGTTGTCTCTCAAAGCGGCATTGGACAAATTGTTCATTACGACTTACGAGGGTCCTTGCAATTTCAGATGCTTTACTGAGCTTGCGAGTAGAAGGAAAGAACCAGAGTTCTTCGGGCCTGAGCCTGTCAGACCGGGATGTGAAGGTAGTAAGAAATGTCAAATGAAGTGATGGACCTGGCTTGTCCCCGCTGCCCCGTCACATCCGCTGCCCTCCTTACCCTAAACACTGCCGTTTTGGATGCAAAATGAGGGGAGCTGATTGCCTCTCTTTTTTCTTTTTTTTTTAAAGTATTTTGAACTAGCATGTAATATGCTAAAATAATTTTTGATATACTTAACACGTGGAAATGTTTTTTAGAAGCATCTTGCATTCTAGAATAAGTTTTTAGACTTAGTATCTTAAAATATTTTTTCAATAACACCTGGTGTCTTATAATAATCTTTGGTATACTTAACATTTTAAAATATTTTTTTTAGTAACATCCAGTACCTTAAATATATTTCTTAGTAGCAACAAGCATCCTAAATCTAGGACATTGTTGCTACTTCAAATACACTTTTAAAGTAAAAACTACTTTTATGATATTGGATGTCACTAAAAGAATATTTTATAATATTAGGTGTAACAAAAAATTATTTTAGGACATTGGATGCTCATGAAAAATATTTTAGTATACTGAGTGCACCATTAAGTATACTAAAAATTATTTTACGATATTGAATGCCACTGAAAAAAATATTTTAGGGTCTTGAGTGTATCAAAAATTATTGTAGGATACTAAATACTACTGGAAAAAAATTTTAAGGCACTGAATTTTTTTTTTTAACCATACAAGGCGCTCTTGAGAGAAATGTTCTCGCTTGTTGTGTACACCAAAAATTATTTGAGAGTATTGAATGTACCAAAAATTATTATAAAATATTGAGTGCTACTAAAAAAATATTTTAAGATGTTGAGTCTAAAAAAATTACTTCAGAATGCAAGTGCTTCTGAAAAATATTTTAATGTGTTAAGTGTATCAAAAATTATTTTAGAATATTAGAGGCTATAAAAAAATAATTAAAAAAAAAAAAAGCAATCAGCCCCTCTCATTTTGCACCCAAAACGACAGTGTTTTGGGTAGAGGAGGACAGCGGAGAGAAGCCAGGTCCCTGAAGTTGATTTGAGGAATGTGTCTGGCTTAAACGATTGGTTGTTTATTGTCAATTATCCTGAAAACGACACCCACTGTTTCTGACATGCGTTAAGCACAGTCTAAACACGGTCCTTGTCGCTAGTTAATGGTAATCTCTCTAATTACCAGAAACATAACTAGGTATTTGGATTACTCAAGAAGTATTTTAAAAAAATATTTTTCTGTAAATTGTTGTAAATTTTTTTATAAATTTACTTCATATACTGTAAAAATATTTTTAAAATTATAGTTTTGTTTTCACAAACACCTCTCACTTCAATAAAAGTGCTTATGGGTAAAAAGTAAAAACTATTCCCACGTGATAATCTTAGATAACTAATCACGTGATAAAAATAATAAGAATCTATGTTCTATCAAGCCAAGCCAACTAATAGCATAATGTAATCAAATTTGGGTTTCTGAAATATTTTCTTAAATATATCAAGTATCTTAAAATTATTTGTGATACAATTTTATCTTCAAAATATTTAAAATGGTGCATTCATAGTCATTACTAACTGAACTGTGCAGCCCTATTTTGATGAGAATAATCTTAGATGGCATGTGAAATAAGCCACTAACGTGTCAAGTTGTTTCTTCTTCTGCTTATTACTGTTGCTCTTCGTCATCTCCCTTTCGCTCCCTCTCATGCGATCAGCTCGCCGCAACTGCTCTGTTAAGTGGCAGCATTAAGTGCGAGAATCCTAGTTATGAAGCACATGCTGCCGGGTAACAAAGTTATAAATTCATATAGGAGATATGTACTGTTAATGTAAAGGGGAGAAAGAACCAAAATGAAAAGGAAAAAAAAATTGACCCCAGCAAAGCAATCCTAGTTCCGTCGAAGAAGATAAAGTTAGATGGAGCAGGGGAAATGGTGATTGATCCGTAGAAAAAAGGGCTCTTTCTCAGTCTTCCACTCCCCCACAGCCGACGCTGCCGCTTCCGGCGTTGCTGCCACCCCCAAGGAGAAGACCTACAAAGGCATGCGGCGACGCCCTTGAGGGAAATTCTCAGCGGAGATAAGTGATTCCACCAGGATGACATAATGGCATGGCTAGAGACCTTCAACAGTGTAGAGTCTGCGGCTTTAGCTTACGGTCAAGCCGCATTTTCCGTGAGGGGATCGGCCACGATGTTAAACTTTTCAATGGAGAGGGCAAGGGAGCCTCTAAGAGAGCTGAACTACGGATCGAAACAACGTTGCTCGTTGGTAGTAAGAATAGATAATGGGGTGTTGCTGGAAGATCTTGGTTCAAATTACTTGGAACAACTCTTGATGCCCTCGATGAATCTTAGACCTTTAGAATCTCATTGCTGAATGTTGGAACCAATGGAAGATTTGACAGACAAGAGCTCATCGGATGAGGGGGGAGGAACAGTAATAAGCAGAAGAAGTAACTTGACGCCTTAGTGGCCACCTAGGATTATCCTGGTTAAGATGGAACTGACTCAGCAAATTATTAATGGTCAAACAAACAGTTATGTTAAATATGGGTATAGGTGCACCATTTTAAATACTTTAGCATAAATTGCACAACAAATAAGTTTAAGATATTGGATGCATATTAAAATATACATTGGGATGCTAGGTGTTTCTTAACTCATTAAATTTTATGAATAAATAAGAATTTAGACATGTTGTTTACGGATAGATCTATATGATGGCTTCTTATTCTTTGAATGTTTCCTTAGTCTCTCTCATTTAAATAAATTTGACTATTTGTCAAATGTTCAAAATTTATGCGCTTAATGGTTATAATTGAAACTCAAATAACCGAAGTTAAAGAAGCTGTCTGTGTTTGGAATGATGTTGAAATAGGAAAAAAAATCACATTTTGATTCATTCATCCACTATAAATCCAAACATTTACTTCTCATATTTTTGTTGATGGGAATCCTCCCACTTGTTCTGTGATTCTCAGTTGTTCTTGAGGCGGAATCTATTCAAGATTTTGGGAGATGTAATGTGTTTGCAAAAGAATGAGTTTTTTTTTTTTCCTTTGGTGCCCCCATGGTCATTGAACCAGTTCTAGGATGCTGTGGCATTACGGAGGCATTACCTTGAGAAGAAATTCTTGCATATACCCAAAATACCACCTCATCCATACTCTAACCAATAAAATTATGACAGCTAAAATGTTTTTATCTTATGTATCAGTCGACATGGCACTCATTTGCCTTACTGTTATTTTAATAGCCTTTTAGTAATACATGCTCTTAGTCTCTAACACTCTCTCATCTCCGCGTCCTTTTTCTGAAAACTCTCTCACTCTTTCTCCGTAACAAAGTTATAATTTTATTGGCCACAGAGGCGGACATTGATGCAGGATAGACCTTTTTCTGATTTTGCTGTAATGTTCTTGCTGTTTTAATGAAACTCTCCAGTGTTTATTCCCAAAAAAAAAAAAAAAGGAACAAGGATGAGGTGGTGTTGTGGGCGTATGTAAGAATTCCTCTTACCTTAGGTTGTTATTGCAATGTGCAAAAATGAATCACAGTGTTTGTATGAATGACATTATTAATATTCAGATCTACACAGAACAGAGTCCCCTGTTTCTTGTTGCTCTTTTTCATTAACTTAAAATTAAAAACTTGTTTTTACATCGTTAATAAAATAATGTTTATGTTTGCGTAGGCAATGAGATGGTTGTTAATTCCAATGTTAAATGCCATTTTGAAACTAGCATGCCAGCGTAGAAGCAACGTTCTTAACGATTCATTGCCCCAAAAAAACCCCTTGGTTTGGATTTAGGTCTATGTTTGAACAGATACGTATAACTTCAGTTGTTCCTTATCTGCCATTTTAGTCTGCTAAAAGAAATCTTCTAACATTCCAACCTCATTTGGCACCCTTCGCTTTTTTGGGTTATTACCCAACTCCCCATTGACGAAAAAGAACAAAGGAAAAGGTGGGGGAAAAAAAAAACAGGAAGGCTTTGGTTTGCATATTTGTCCGCATTCAGAATTTTTTTTTTTTTTACCAAAAGCATTCAGATTTAAATCAAAAGTTCCCTTTTCTCATATGTTTTTACCCTTTCCTTAATCCACACTTACCCTTAAGTTTCACTCTTAGCAAAAACGGCATTGGCTACCACCAGAACTCTGAAGAAGTGAAATTTCCAGAGTGCACGGAAAATCTTCACCTTGTTATTGCCCTCAATCTTTCCATGTAATTTAGCAAGAACAGACCTATTATTTCCAAAACTCTTCATTATTTAATTCAGGACCAGAAGTCCCACCATTGATAACCACCGTCAGACTGGGCTAAGAAGTCATCATCAGTGGACTCAAGATTTCTCCAAACTTCTTGTGACGTCAAGGGACTATCTGTATGCTTATCAGAGAAGCTCAGAATCGCAAGTTCATCTTCAGCCCCAACATATTCTGCCTTTGAGCTCCTATCATCATCTGAAAGAATCCCAGGTATTTGTTCTGATCTTTCCATTGATGGACTTGGCTTGACGAAGGTCCCTCCATTATCAGACTTTCTGTCCATCATACTTTCATCTTCCACTTTCTTACAACAAAAGGTTTGATCTTTCGAATCTTTCAACTCCTGCAACTGTTGGAAATCACACAATCCTCATCATTAGCCTATTATCTGAAATGGGTACCACACTAACACGCGATTCAAACTAAGAAAGAGTGTTTTGCAGTACCTGTAGAAGTAATGCATGGTTCTCCTTCTTGAGGGCCTCGACTTTGGAAGCCAAAGCATCGTAATTGGCTTGGAGTAGATAGTAAGAACGTTGGAGGTGTTTGGACTTGGATCGAGCTCTTCTATTCTGGAACCATATGGCCACCTGGCGAGGCTGCAAGCCAAGGTGTGAAGCTAGCTGCAACTGTTTTGGGTGATCGAGCTTGGACTCAGTCTCGAAAATGGACTCCATTAACTTGATTTGCTCCTCACTGAACCTTTTTTTGCTACTGCTATTCTTTTTCCCGGTTCCGGATGTTCTTGTTGGTGAAGAAGATGAAGAAGTGGATGTCGTTCTGTTGTATGTTTCCGCTGCTGCAGAATGAGAGAATTCATAATGGGCAGACATCTTTCTGGGGATTGTTAGTATTAATGAAATTCAGCCGTTGCCTCTTTATAGTGCTCCTCGGCCCTGTTGTCCAATGTCATACTATTTGTATTTTTTTTTTTAAAGTTTGGACTCAAAAATAGGGAAAAACATATTGGAATTTCATATGCTTTCTTTGAATTTTGAATTAGGTACCTATGTATTTCTTTTCTAAATTAAATTATTTAATTTTATTTTTTTAGTAATATTAGCTCTTGTAACTTTGTTCTATTAGTATTTTTAGTCTATGTGCAGGGATTAACGAAATTAAAAATTTAATTAAGTGAAAAAAATGTATAGATACTAAATTGAAAATAAAAAGAAATATAGGTACTTTTAATATGGTTTTTCCTTAAAAAAATATACAAAGAACATAACCAGTATTAATTAATCAACTCTAAATGATCCCAAGAGCCTGCCTACCTCGGCTTTCTGGTTATCATCTAATTCCATTTTCAGTTTATACAATAGATAGATAGGTATCCATCAATTAATGTATAAAAATAACTTTTGATCTTATTTGGTGCGAAATATTAAAAATTAGATATAAAGATTGGATTAGAATTCAAAACATGTGTTAAAATGATGTTTAGTATGAATAGTTTCTTATTACATAGGATTAAGCAGTCCCACATAGATGGGATTGGAGAATACCATATCTTCTCATGATACTCTTTAATCCCTACATATATGGGTTTTTTTTAATCCCAAATATCACACAATTACTCATACCAAGCAGTTTTTAATATAATTTTTCTCTTTCAATCACAGCCCTTATCCCTGATTTTTCGTATCAAACGCAACCTATACGTCTTTTTCTACTATGTAAAAGTTTCCTACTAGCATGTCACCCAGTTCATTAAAAGGTAAACACACACACACAGTACGTGATTTAATTAAAGTCGAGTTTTATGTAAACTTGTTTTTACAGTATTTGATTGTTATTTATTAACATTTTCTTTTTAATGTATATCTCCTTGATTTAACTAATTTGATTGTGAAAGAGGATATCAATCTGTGTTGTTAAATGTTATAGCTAAAACTGCTCCCATTTTGTTTATCAGAAGCTTCGAATTCTGATCCATTCAATACTGGCTTTGATTTTTTTTTTATAAGAAAAATACTGGCTTTGAATTTTAATTTTTCTTTTGCCCACTCTGAAAACGAGTTCCCATTCAGACTTTCTCAAAATTCTAAATTCGAAAGTAAACAAAATATCCAATTTTGGAGCCAATCAAACTAGTTGGCCGGGAACACGAATCTGTCACCTGTCACACATCTCCAACCAGATTCTGCCACGCGTCCACCTGCAAAGCAGAGCATCCCATTACGGAAGTCTTTTGTTTCTCTTTCATGACGTGGCGTGATCCAAACTTCGTCCTTGAAAGTTCACGGACGCGTGGCATTATCTAACGATGTCGCATCCACTGAGGAGGCTTTTCGATCCCGTACGGTGGATCTGTCCCAATCTCCTCTTTTTCTCTCATTTCTTTTTCGTTATCTTCAACATGTGAGTGTTTTGCCTTTTTATATCCTATTAACAAAAAACTCTATACTACCTTTTATTTTAATTATAAAAACTGGTTGACTAATTTAAAGAGATTAAAAAAATAAACTGAGTTATTTATTTATCCTAAATAGATATTATTTTGCCTAAAATATTATTACTAATAAAGTATATTGGTTAGAACTATTATTGTTAAAATGACTATTTTAGAAAGAAATTTATAAATATGAGAAACAAAAAAATTGAGGTTTTATACTTAAAATCAAAATAAAATTCAAACAAAATTTTATATTAAGAACAAAAGGTTGTAATTTTTTAGCGTGACCAAGATTGTCTTTCAACAACAATAAAAATTAACGTCTCCTAAAAATACGACGAATATAAAGCAGCCTTCTTCTTCCTCCTCTTTTGGATCAAACAGAGAGACTGGGAATCTAATTTCCAATAAATTATTTAATGAGTAATAAAATTGACCATATATGTAGACATTTACGCAAATTCGAGTAAGTTCGGAAAGTCATGGGATGTCGTTAAATTATGGCGTTAATTAAAAGGTTAACGCTCGGACTAATGGCATGTAATAATTAATATATGGATATTTCACTGTGATGGGAATCTCTGGGGCATGAAATTAAATAATTGAATGGAACAACATATATCATCTACTTTATTTTTTTAGAAAAAAGGGAAGAAGAAGCGGGAAGCAAAAGTAGCTTCTAGATCCAGTCGCTCTTGTTTATCGTCAATTTAAATCATCACGTTGATTAACAATAATACTACTACTCAAGATCTCATTTGATTTTTATTTTGATCTTAAATATAAAATTTCAGTTCATTTTGTCTCTCATATCTATACATTTTTTAAGATAGTCTTTCTAATAATAATAGTTTTAATCAATAGATATGATTAGCAAATATATTTTGAGAAATATAATACTCCTCCGGTCCTAATTATAAGACCAAATTGACTTATTTGAGGAGATTAAGGAAGTAAGTTAAGTTGGTTATTTATAATAAATAAGTGTTGTCATTCCTAAAATATCCTTGCTAATTAAGTATATTGGCTAAAACTATCATTATTAGAAGGATTATCTTGAAAAAAAATGCATAAATATAAGAGAGAAAATGGATTGGGTCTTATAATTATGACCAAATAAAAAGTCAAATTGGGTCTTATAATAAGGACTGGAGGAGTATATATTTATGATAAATAACTAACTTAACTTATTTTCTTAATCTATTTAAATTAGTCAACTACTTTTTATATCTACGAATGAATATGGTATTCGGTTAGGGACAGCATGAGAAGGAAGAGAAAGTGAGCACTCTGAAATTGCTTGTTTTTAAGGCTTCAATTCTACAAAGCTCAGGTTTCGTTTTATTTTGTGGCCCACAACCTGTGCTTTTTCTGCCATTATTAACTTGTTCGACATACTGTGAGTTAATATGTTGTTAGTGACTATACATATAGTATATTACAAGTCTATAAAGATTATACTATCTCTTATTTTTATGAAAGTTTGTTTAGTTTTTATTTGATTCTTAAATATAAGATTTTAATCCATTTTATTTATTATATTTATCGATTTTTTTCAATATAGTTCATATGATAATAGTAATTATAGCTAATACATTTGATTAGTAAGAATATATTAGAAAAGACAATATCTATTTATTATAAATAATTAACTTAACTAATTTTTTTAATTTATATAGACTAGTCAACTAACTCTAACGTTAAAGATCGAGTATGAGGGCAAGTTGTGATCTCACAACCCAACAGCACCAAACAGTTTTCTTAAAATTTTTGTAAGTGTGAGGGGCGAGTTGGGATCCTCTGTTAGAAAATATAATGAGCACGGATACAATGGAGAAAAAATGGAATAGGTCTTAGATGCGTTCAGGTTTTTTTTTTTTTGGTTGGCTCAACATATTCTCTTATTAAATATAATTATTTTTTATATATTATGAGATATTAAATATATGCAGCTTTCTCGGCTGGAATTCAAACATCACAGTTGATGATATTGTGAGGGATTAGTTCTTTCAGCGTTGTTAAGCTGGCATGTATGGTGTAATTTCTGTGGCTCAAAATCCATCTACATCTGGGCTCTGCGTCATCGGGCTAGCCCATTATAAAAAGAGGTGATTAGATGTTTCATGGTGGGCGTACGGACTTGGCCCATTCAATCCATCTATCTGATTCCCCTATGTTTTAGCTCCTGTCTTTTGGGCCAGGCCCTCACTTGCAACAAAAAACAAATGGTTAACGTGCTCGTAAAACTTGCAACAGTTTTAAATTGTTTAGTTTTTAATTCTGGGGCTTTGTATTTGATTATGACATATATTTTTGAGTCATTTAATTTAAAAAATTGGGTGAAAAAATAATGGCATTTTTAATTAATTATATATATATATATATCCAAGGACGCTGTAAACTTTGCATGCAAAGTGACTCAAATTCATAACGCGACAGGAATTGGTGATGATGTGATGTTAAACGAAGAAAAATGTTGACTTGGGGGAAAGTAGAAATGAGAAAGCAGGGTCAAAAGTATGTTCGGCCTTTTTGCTTTTCAAGTTTCAACCACTCCCTCGTCCTCTCCCATGAGGCACGTGAGGTTCCCCCGGAAGCACGTGGATGAGAATGAAGGTGCAGCCAGGCCAGCTTTCATTGGAACTCACCAATCGTTACTTTCACCGCAATTAATTCCAATCACCGCAATGGTTATTTGTTACTCCTCCATTGTTTATTATAAGAGATAAATAATCAAATTATGTTGATAAAAAAAAAACAGTTAAAATTAGTTGAAGACATTTAATATGTAAAAAGTGTATAATGTTTTTTCTAACAATACCCCCATTAATAAGGAGAGAGTATGAGAGAGAACAATTAAATTATTAAAAGAAAGAGAAATAGGAGAGGAGAGAGAGTATGAGTTGGAGACAAAATAAATAGAGATAAAATAGGAAATCAATACAGAAAAATGAAGACAACTTTTAAGTGTCTCTTATATATGGGAACATGTCCATAAGCATCAAATGTCTCTTATAATAAGGAACGGAGAATACTTTTCATCCTCATCTAATCCTGAAATTACACTTTTAATTTAACTTTTTTATATGTCAGCTATTAGTATACTCTTATTGAAAGCATGTTTCAGTTTTTAAAAAAATTTTATATAGTCCAAAATAAAGATGTGAAAAAAATTTTATTTTAATTTACTCAAAAATACTTTTTATAGTGCTTTTTAAGGTTTCTAAATACCCTTTTATTTTGAACAATAATTTGTCTGGTCTCAATCTTGGTTGGTTTTTATTTAAATTTTTTAACCCCTAATTTTTAGGCACATTTCTCTCATCTTATTTGTAAATTAGAGAAAAGCGTATAAGCTTAAAACCAAAAAACTTACGTCAAGCTATTCATGCTCGTCATGTCAAGTTCTTTAATTATTTACGGCCATGTGTTAAAAATGAGATATA